GCGGGATCAGGGAAGGGACATGGGAGCGGATCAGGGAAGGGACATGGGAGCGGGATCAGGGAAGGGACATGGGGAGCGGGATCAGGGAAGGGATCAGAGGGGGACATGGGAGCGGGCTCAGGGAAGGGACATGGGAAGGGATCAGGGAAGGGAAGAGAAGGGACATGGGAGCGGGATCAGGGAAGGGACATGGAGCGGGATCAGGGAAGGGACATGAAGTGGGATCAGGGGGATCAGGAAGACATGGGAGAGGGATCAGGGAAGGGACATAGAAGTGGGATCAGGGAAGGGACATGGGAGAGGGATCAGGGAAGGGGATCAGGGAAGGGACATGAGAGCGGGATCAGGGAAGGGACATGAAGCGGGATCAGGGAAGGGACATGGGAGCGGGATCAGGGGAGGGACATGGGATCCAGGGATCAGGGAAGGGACATAGAAGTGGGATCAGGGAAGGGACATGGGAAGGGATCAGGGAAGGGACATGAGAGCGGGATCATCATGGAGCGGGATCAGGGAAGGGACATAGAAGCGGGATCAGGGAAGGGACATGGGAGAGGGATCAGGGAAGGGACATGGGAGCGGGATCAGGGAAGGGATGGGAAGTTGGATCTAGGGAGGGACATGGGAGCTGTCCATAGGAAAGGGACATGTCATCTTTGGGGACATGGGAGCGGGATCCAGATTTTTGTTTCTGGTCCTATGGGGTCAGCCGCCAGCTGGTCACCCTGTGGGATGGGCCAATTCCTATAACCGATGAATGTCATAGCTGATCTCCATACCTCCGGGTCACACGAGGAGAACGCCGAGAGGGACCTATGGGAAGGGATCAGGGAAGGGATCAGGGAAGGGACATGGGAGCGGGATCAATGTCAGGGACATGGGAGCGGGATCAGGGAGGGATCAGGGAAGGGACATGGGAAGGGATCAGGGAAGGGATCAGGGAAGGGACATGGGAGCGAGATCAGGGAAGGGATCAGGGAAGGGATCAGGGAAGGGATCAGGGAAGGGACATGGGAGCGGGATCAGGGAAGGGATCAGGGAAGGGATCAGGGAAGGGATCAGGGATCACAAGAATAAGCGCTCGGTCACATCAAAGCTGATTTTGAAGTGAAGTTGCCGATTTCAGTTGTGATTTGCAGGACATCAGACACAGATTTCTATGTGAATCTCACCAACAGTACTGCATGTGCTACTATAGAAATCGGTGCGACTTGGCAAATCACAACTGATGTGACCTCCGTGTTATGGAAGAGTCAGGACCGGAGAAGCATCAGGTGAAGACTCATTGTGCTGGGATCTGCTGGCTGCTGGGAGACACCTGCTGGTGAACACTGGGACTACAATTGATAAATAAGATTGATACAATTCGTGACGAGATCTCCACTGTACAGACGTCTCCCTCACCCAACACTCCTTGTCCGCCAGACGTCTCCCTCACTCACCCTACCCTCCTTGTCCGCCAGACGTCTCCCTCACCCTACCCTCCTTGTCCGCCAGACGTCTCCCTCACCCTACCCTCCTTGTCTGCCAGACGTCTCCCTCACTCTACACCCCTTGTCCGCCAGACGTCTCCCTCACCCTACCCTCCTTGTCCGCCAGATGTCTCCCTCACCCTACACCCCTTGTCCGCCAGACGTCTCCCTCACCCTACCCTCCTTGTCCGCCAGACGTCTCCCTCACCCTACCCTCCTTGTCCGCCAGACGTCTCCCTCACCCTACCCTCCTTGTCCGCCAGACGTCTCCCTCACTCTACACCCCTTGTCCGCCAGACGTCTCCCTCACCCTACCCTCCTTGTCCGCCAGACGTCTCCGTCACTCTACACCCCTTGTCCGCCAGGCGTCTCCCTCACCCTACCCTCCTTGTCCGCCAGACGTCTCCCTCACCCTACCCTCCTTGTCCGCCAGACGTCTCCGTCACTCTACACCCCTTGTCCGCCAGGCGTCTCCCTCACCCTACCCTCCTTGTCTGCCAGACGTCTCCCTCACCTTACACCCCTTGTCCGCCAGACGTCTCCCTCACCCTACCCTCCTTGTCCGCCAGATGTCTCCCTCACCCTACACCCCTTGTCCGCCAGACGTCTCCCTCACCCTACCCTCCTTGTCCGCCAGACGTCTCCCTCACCCTACCCTCCTTGTCCGCCAGACGTCTCCCTCACCCTACACTCCTTGTCCGCCAGACGTCTCCCTCACCCTACACCCCTTGTCCGCCAGACGTCTCCCTCACCCTACACCCCTTGTCCACCTGCACAATCTACACTTCCGTTGTTTAACCCAGCTACTATAGAGAAGGTTGGTCAGAAGGTTTTCTAAAGCCCACCTAACCACCTGACCCCTGGACCCTGTTCCCTCGCAAATACTACAGTCACCCTTTGGCTCTATCCTCCACTCTAACTCATATCTTCAACCTCTCCCTTTCTACTGGCATCTTCCCCAATCCTTTAAAACATGCGCTAGTCACCCCCATACTTAACAAGGCCTCACTGGACCCCACCAATCTTAGCAACCTAAGACCCATCTCCTTCTCACTGGACCCCACCAATCTTAGCAACCTAAGACCCAACTCCTTCTCACTGGATCCCACCAATCTTAGCAACCTAAGACCCATCTCCTCACTGGACCCCACCAATCTTAGCAACCTAAGACCCATCTCCTTCTCACTGGACCCCACCAATCTTAGCAACCTAAGACCCATCTCCTCACTGGACCCCACCAATCTTAGCAACCTAAGACCCATCTCCTTCTCACTGGACCCCACCAATCTTAGCAACCTAAGACCCAACTCCTTCTCACTGGACCCCACCAATCTTAGCAACCTAAGACCCATCTCCTTCTCACTGGACCCCACCAATCTTAGCAACCTAAGACCCATCTCCTCCTCACTGGACCCCACCAATCTTAGCAACCTAATAAGACCCATCTCCTTCTCACTGGACCCCACCAATCTTAGCAACCTAAGACCCAACTCCTTCTCACTGGACCCCACCAATCTTAGCAACCTAAGACCCATCTCCTCCTCACTAGACCCCACCAATCTTAGCAACCTAAGACCCATCTCCTTCTTACTGGACCCCACCAATCTTAGCAACCTAAGACCCATCTCCTCACTCCCTTTTACCCCCAAACTCCTTGAATGTCTTGCCTACAACCGGCTGAGCTGCCACCTCACCTTCTCCATCCCCTTGAGTCTGGATTTCGCCCAGAACACTCCACAGAAACTGCTCTCCTAAAACTCACAAATGACTTACTAACCACTGAAACTAATGGTCACCATTCCGGACTCTTGCTCTTGGACCTCTTCGCTGCCTTCGACACAGTTGGCCACCCCCTCCTCCTCAAAAAACTCTATTTACTGGGTCTCCATGACTGTACTCTCTGTTGGTTGGAATCTTGCCTATCTCACCGCACCTTCAGTGTCACAACTCTACTTCCTCCTCTCCTACTCCTCTTACTGTCAGGGATCCCCAAGGTTCTGTCCTTAGACCTCTCCTCCTCCTCTTACTGTCAGGGTCCCCAAAGGTTCTGTCCTTGGACCTCTCCTCCTCCTCTCACTGTCAGGGTCCCCAATCTTCTGTCCTTGGACCTCTCCTCTGCCTCTTACTGTCGGGGTCCCCCAAGGTTCTGTCCTTGGACTTCTCCTCCTCTTACTGTCAGGGTCCCCCAAGGTTCTGTCCTTGGACCTCTCCTCCTCCTCTTACTGTCAGGATCCCCAAGGTTCTGTCCTTGGACCTCTCCTCCTCCTCTTACTGTCAGGGTCCCCCAAGGTTCTGTCCTTGGACCTCTCCTCGACTTACTGTCGGGGTCCCCCAAGGTTCTGTCCTTGGACTTCTCCTCCTCTTACTGTCGGGGTCCCCCAAGCTTCTGTCCTTGGACCTCTCCTCCGCCTCTTACTGTCGGGGTCCCCCAAGGTTCTGTCCTTGGACTTCTCCTCCTCTTACTGTTGGGGTCCCCCAAGGTTCTGTCCTTGGACCTCTCCTCCTCCTCTTACTGTTGGGGTCCCCCAAGGTTCTGTCCTTGGACCTCTCCTCCTCTTACTGTCAGGGTCCCCCAAGGTTCTGTCCTTGGACCTCTCCTCCTGCTCTTACTGTCGGGGTCCCCAAGGTTCTGTGCTTGGACCTCTCCTCCTGCTCTTACTGTCGGGGTCCCCCAAGGTTCTGTCCTTGGACCTCTCCTCCGCCTCTTACTGTCGGGGTTCCCCAAGGTTCTGTCCTTGGACCTCTCCTCCTCCTCTTACTGTTGGGGTCCCCCAAGGTTCTGTCCTTGGACCTCTCCTCCTTTTACTGTCCGGGTCCCCCAAGGGCTCTGTCCTTGGACCTCTCTTCTTACTACTGTCAGGGTCCCCCAAGGTTCTGTCCTTGGACCTCTCCTCCTCTTACTGTAGGGGTCCCCCAAGGTTCTGTCCTTGGACCTCTCCTCCTCTTACTGTCCGGGTCCCCCAAGGTTCTGTCCTTGGACCTCTCTTCTGCCTCCTACTGTCAGGGTCCCCCAAGGTTCTGTCCTTGGACCTCTCCTCCTCTTACTGTAGGGGTCCCCCAAGGTTCTGTCCTTGGACCTCTCCTCCTCTTACTGTCGGGGTTCCCCAAGGTTCTGTCCTTGGACCTCTCCTCCTCCTCTTACTGTTGGGGTCCCCCAAGGTTCTGTCCTTGGACCTCTCCTCCTCTTACTGTTGGGGTCCCCCAAGGTTCTGTCCTTGGACCTCTCCTCCTTTTACTGTCCGGGTCCCCCAAGGTTCTGTCCTTGGACCTCTCCTATTCTCCATCTACACCTCTTCCTTGGGTCAGCTTCCCCCATCAGTTTCCTCCTGTATCACCGATTCACTAACAGACATATCAGACTGGATGTCACTCCACTTCCTAAAACTCAATCTATCCAAAACTGAGCCCATAATATTACCTCCCCCCCACGTGCCTCTTCCCCTGATATCTCAGTCAGGATCAATAGCACCACTATCAGCCCATCCCCCCCCCATTCCGGGGTGCTCTGGGTAACCCTGGATTCTGATCTGTCCTCTCAGTCCCACATCCAATCCTGTCCAATCATGGCGCCTCAACCTCCGTAACATCTCCAGAATACGCCCCTTCCTGACCAATCACACCGCACAGCTCCTAATTCACTCCCTGGTCATCTCCCACCTCGACTACTGCAACTGCCTCCTCATTGGATGACCTTTACATAGGCCACACCCCCTCCAGTCCATCATGAATACTGCAGCCAGGGTCATCTACCTTACCAACCACTCAGTGTCCTCCACCCTTCTCTCTGCCAATCCCTCCACTGGCCTCCACTCAGTGTCCTCCACCCCCTCTCTGCCAATCCCTCCACTGGCCTCCACTCAGTGTCCTCCACCCCCCTCTGCCAATCCCTCCACTGGCCTCCACTCAGTGTCCTCCACCCCCTCTCTGCCAATCCCTCCACTGGCCTCCACTCAGTGTCCTCCACCCCCCTCTGCCAATCCATCCACTGGCCTCCGCTCAGTGTCCTTCATCCCTCTCTGCCAATCCCTCCACTGGCCTCCACTCAGTGTCCTCCATCCCTCTCTGCCAATCCCTCCACTGGCCTCCACTCAGTGTCCTCCACCCCCCTCTGCCAATCCCTCCACTGACCTCCATTCAGTGTCCTCCACCCCCTCTATCATTTCCTCCACAGGCCTCCACTCAGTGTCCTCCACCCCCCTCTGCCAATTCCTCCCATGACCTCCATTCAGTGTCCTCCACCCCTCTCTGCCAATCCCTCCACTGGCCTCCACTCAGTGTCCTCCACCCCCCTCTGCCAATCCCTCCACTGGCCTCCACTCAGTGTCCTCCACCCCCTCTCTGCCAATCCCTCCACTGGCCTCCACTCAGTGTCCTCCACCCCCTCTCTGCCAATCCCTCCACTGGCCTCCATTCAGTGTCCTCCACCCCCGTCTGCCAATCCCTCCACTGACCTCCATTCAGTGTCCTCCACCCCCCTCTGCCAATCCCTCCACTGGCCTCCACTCAGTGTCCTCCACCCCCCTCTGCCAATCCCTCCACTGACCTCCATTCACTCTCCTCCACCCCTCTCTGCCAATTCCTCCCATGACCTCCATTCAGTGTCCTCCACCCCTATCTGCCAATCCCTCCACTGACCTCCATTCAGTGTCCTCCACCCCTCTCTACCAATCCCACCACTGACCTCCATCCAGTGTCCTCCACCCCTCTCTGCCAATCCTTCCACTGGATCAGGGAAGGGATCAGGGAAAGGACATGGGAAGGGATCAGGGAAGGGATCAGGAAAGGAAATGGGAGCGGGATCAGGGAAGGGATCAGGGAAGGGGCATGGGAAGGGATCAAGGAAGGGACATGGGAAGGGATCAGGGATTGGAAATGGGAAGGGATCAGGGAAGGGATCAAGGAAGGGACATGGGAAGGGATCAAGGAAGGGACATGGGAAGGGATCGGGGAAGGGACATGGGAAGGGATCGGGGATTGGACATGGGAAGGGATCGGGGACTGGACATGGGAAGGGATCGGGGATTGGACATGGGAAGGGATCGGGGATTGGACATGGGAAGGGATCAGGGAAGGGACATGGGAAGGGATCGGGAAGGGACATGGGAAGGGATCAAGGAAGGGACATGGGAAGGGATCAGGGAAGGGATCAAGGAAGGGACATGGGAAGGGATCAGGGATTGGAAATGGGAAGGGATCAGGGACTGGACATGGGAAGGGATCAGGGACTGGACATGGGAAGGGATCAGGGAAGGGACATGGGAAGGGATCAGGGACTGGGACATGGGAAGGGATCAGGGAAGGGACATGGGAAGGGATCAGGGACTGGACATGGGAAGGGATCAGGGAAGGGACATGGGGGAAGGGATCAGGGAAGGGACATGGGAAGGGATCAGGGACTGGACATGGGAAGGGATCAGGGAAGGGACATGGGAAGGGATCAGGGATTGGACATGGGAAGGGATCGAGGAGAGGGGTACATGGGGCCATGGCTGGGATTAGGGAATAGTCAGGACTGGACTCCCTCCCAGTTCTCAGCATCAGGTGAACACTCATTGCTGGGATCTGCTGGCTGCGGGGAGACACCTGCTGGTGAACACTGGGACTACATGATTTCAGGAAAAGGTACAACATCGCCACCTGCTGGTGATCCAGGTCCTGACAGCAGAGTCCCCCATCCAGGGAGAGATCGGAGCCGAAACTGAAGACTTTCCTCTTCTCATCACCTCTGTGGAGCGCCGCCATAGACTCCTCCCACTGTGTCTGATTGTCAGTGCAGAGGGGTGACATGTGACCAGAGGACTCAGGGTGACCCCCCCACAGTACATCCATCATATCCGGGGTGACCCCCCCACAGTACATCCATTATATCCGGGGTGACCCCCCCCAGTACATCCATTATATCCGGGGTGACCCCCCCCACAGTACAACCATTATATCCGGGGTGACCCCCCCACAGTACAACCATTATATCCGGGGTGACCCCCCCACAGTACATCCATTATATCCGGGGTGACCCCCCCCCCACAGTACATCCATTATATCCGGGATGACCCCCCCCACAGTACAACCATTATATCCGGGGTGACCCCCCCCCACAGTACATCCATTATATCCGGGGTGACCCCCCCCCCACAGTACATCCATTATATCCGGGGGGTGACCCCCCCCCACAGTACATCCATTATATCCGGGATGACCCCCCCACAGTACATCCATTATATCCGGGGTGACCCCCCCCACAGTACATCCATTATATCCGGGGTGACCCCCCCCCCCAGTAACATCCATTATATCCGGGGTGACCCCCCCCCCACATACATCCATTATATCCGGGGTGACCCCCCCCCACAGTACATCCATTATATCCGGGGTGACCCCCCCCACAGTACATCCATTATATCCGGGGTGACCCCCCCACAGTACATCCATTATATCCGGGGTGACCCCCCCCACAGTACATCCATTATATCCGGGGTGACCCCCCCCACAGTACAACCATTATATCCGGGGTGACCCCCCCCCAGTACATCCATTATATCCGGGGTGACCCCCCCCCCCACAGTACATCCATTATATCCGGGGTGACCCCCCCCCACAGTACATCCATTATATCCGGGGTGACCCCCCCACAGTACATCCATTATATCCAGGGTGACCCCCCCCCACAGTACAACCATTATATCCGGGGTGACCCCCCACAGTACATCCATTATATCCGGGGTAACCCCCCACAGTACAACCATTATATCCGGGGTGACCCCCCCACAGTACATCCATTATATCCGGGGGTGACCCCCCCACAGTACAACCATCATATCCGGGGTGACCCCCCCCCCCACAGTACATCCATTATATCCGGGGTGACCCCCCCACAGTACATCCATTATATCCGGGGTGACCCCCCCCACAGTACATCCATTATATCCGGGGTGACCCCCCCACAGTACATCCATTATATCCGGGGTGACCCCCCCCACAGTACATCCATTATATCCGGGGTGACCCCCCCACAGTACAACCATCATATCCGGGGTGACCCCCCCCAGTACATCCCATTATATCCGGGGTAACCCCCCCCACAGTACATCCATTATATCCGGGGTGACCCCCCACAGTACATCCATTATATCCGGGGTGACCCCCCCACAGTACAACCATTATATCCGGGGTGACCCCCCCACAGTACAACCATCATATCCGGGGTGACCCCCCCCACAGTACATCCATTATATCCGGGGTGACCCCCCCCCACAGTACATCCATTATATCCGGGGTGACCCCCCCACAGTACAACCATCATATCCGGGGTGACCCCCCCACAGTACAACCATTATATCCGGGGTGACCCCCCACAGTACAACCATCATATCCGGGGTGACCCCCCCCCACACAGTACAACCCATTATATCCGGGGTGACCCCCCCACAGTACAACCATCATATCCGGGGGTGACCCCCCCCACAGTACATCCATTATATCCGGGGTGACCCCCCCCCCACAGTACAACCATTATATCCGGGGTGACCCCCCCACAGTACATCCATTATATCCGGGGTGACCCCCCCACAGTACAACCATTATATCCGGGGTGACCCCCCCCACAGTACATCCATTATATCCGGGGTGACCCCCCCACAGTACATCCATCATATCCGGGGTGACCCCCCCACAGTGCAACCATCATATCCGGGGTGACCCCCCCACAGTACAACCATCATATCCGGGGTGACCCCCCCACAGTACAACCATCATATCCGGGGTGACCCCCCCACAGTACAACCATTATATCCGGGGTGACCCCCCCACAGTACAACCATCATATCCGGGGTGACCCCCCCCCACAGTACAACCATTATATCCGGGGTGACCCCCTCCAGTGTGACGTCACATTTTCTCACATGGGGTCACCATTAACCCCCCCCCCCCCCTGATTCTCCATGTTTCGGAGTTGGGGGAGGGAATCCTGTATGGTCACCCCGGGGGGAAGGGGGGGTGCTGCCCCTGGAGGCCCCCAGATATCAATGCCACCTGATTGACACATTTTGGGGTTCCTGTATCGCCCCAAAGAGAACCCCAAAATGGTTATATGGCATCGGATCCCCCAGACATTGGTGAGCAACGATTGGACAGATGAACCGGGAATCCAACCCCCGACCCCCGCGATCCGAACCATTCCTGGGCCCTTCATAGAGCCCCTTGTGGGCGGGAACAGGAGGGAGGACTGGCCAAGGGCTGTGCCCCGCCCTCATCCATATCACAATAAATGGGGGACCCTGAGATATGGGCGGGGCGGGACTCCCACAGAGCCGGTCCTTCTGATTGGTGGATGACTCGTTGATTTCCGGTTTTCTCGATTTCTCGATTGGGACGGGATTGGTGGGACGGGATTGGCAGTCGGCCCCTTGGGGGGGGGGATTGTTGTATGTGTGCGCTCATTGGACGAGCTCATGGGACGGGATTGGTGGGATGGGATGGGAACCGGGATTGGTGGGGGACAGGATTGGCAGTTGGCGGCCCCTTGGGGGGGGGGATTGTTGTATGTGTGCGCTCATTGGACGAGCTCATGGGACGGGATTGTGGGACGGGATTGGTGGGATGGGATTGGTGGGACAGGATTGGCAGTCGGCCCCTTGGGGGGGGGGATTGTTGTATGTGTGCGCTCATTGGACGAGCTCATGGGACGGGATTGGTGGGACGGGATTGGTGGGGATGGGATTGGTGGGACGAGCTCATGGGATGGGATTGGTGGGACGGGATTGGTGGGATGGGATTGGTGGGTCGGGATTGGTGGGACGAGATGTGGGATTGGGGGACGGGATTGGTGGGACGAGAGTGGTGGGACGGGATTGGCAGTCGGCCCCTCCGGGGGGGGGGGGATTGTTGTATGTGTGCGCTCATTGGACGAGCTCATGGGACGGGATTGGTGGGATGGGATTGGTGGGACGAGATTGGCGGTCGGCCCCTCGGGGGGGGATTGTTGTATGTGTGTGCGCTCATTGGACGAGCTCATTGGACGGGATTGGTGGGACGGGATTGGTGGGGACGGGATTGGTGGGATGGGATTGGTGGGACGAGATTGGCGGTCGGCCCCTCGGGGGAGGGGATTGAATCGTTCAGAAGGAAGATTTCTGTGTTCGTCTCCCGATTCGATATTTCGGGAGGATTTTAGATGTCGGAGAAGATCGGGATCGCGGATTCGGGAGACGAACATAGAAATCTTTCGGGGGAAAACGCCAAATCCGAGGAATTCCGAGAACCAATCAGCCGGACGTAACAAAGGCGACCAATGAAAAGGTCCGAAGAGGGGAAACTGCCGTCCTGTGTGTGGGGGCGGGGCGACTCCCTGCGACTTTCCTGTACTGGGCGTGTCTCTTGTCTTGTATGCTCCGCCCACTGTCCGGGTGTGACTTCTGTCTGCGGGAGATCGGATCGTCTGTGGGGCGGGGCAGCGCCAATCTGTACGCAGTGATAGGTGGAGACATCGATGGTGCTGTGTGTGTGGGCGGATCGGCCAGACGGAGATCGGGGAGTCTCCCCCTACTGGCCGCCGGAGGGATCGCACTCTCTGCTGCTTCGAGTAAGCTCCTCGCCCCGCCTACTCCAGGCATTGGCCACGCCCGGTTTTCTGTCCCTGTCCCGGAGCTGCTGACTCCGACACCCAGCGAAGGGTTAATCTACACTAACCGGCCCGCGAGCTGGGACTCCTCCCTACCCTGGCTATAGGCGGAGCCGACAACGAACGGACCCGCCTCTGCCGTATGTCCGCGCCCCTCCTACTCTGCGGTGTCTCCGCCCCCGGAGTGCTCTCCCCTCCTACTCCACGGTATCTCCGCCCCCGAGTGCTCTCCCCTCCTACTCTGCGGTGTCCCCGCCCCCCGTAGTGCTCTCCCCTCCTACTCCACGGATCTCCGCCCCCCGAGTGCTCTCCCCTCCTACTCTGCGGTATCCCCGCCCCCCGGAGTGCTCTCCCCTCCTATTCTGAGGTGTCTCCGCCCCCCGAGTGCTCTCCGCTCCTACTCTGCGGTGTCCCCGCCCCCCGGAGTGCTCTCCCCTCCTACTTTGCGGTATCCCCGCCCCCCGGAGTGCTCTCCCCCCTCCTACTCTGCGGTATCCCCGCCCCCCGGAGTGCTCTCCCCTCCTATTCTGAGGTGTCTCCGCCCCCCCCGGTGCTCTCCCCCTCCTACCGGAGTGCTCTCCCCTCCTACTCTGCGGTGTCTCCGCCCCCCGTAGTGCTCTCCCCTCCTACTCTGCGGTGTCTCCGCCCCCCGTAGTGCTCTCCCCTCCTACTCTGCGGTGTCTCCGCCCTTCTCCCGGCCCACAGCGTTTCTTCTGTCCCCGCCCCCATCCCTGCTCCTCCCTATCATTGCTCCCTCGTAGTCTCCACCTCATACGAGTTCCGTACAGGGAAGAAGACCATGTGACTTCTCTCCCCGCCCATACCGGAAGTACTGGCAGACTCATCTCCGTGAGGTGACGTCACTTCCTGGTCCCCCCCCCACACGTGTGTCCAGCATGGCGGATCTGCAGATGAAGCTGCTGAGAAGAAAACTGGAGAAAAGGAGCCGGAAGAGCCGCCAGAGGAGGCGGGAGAGGGCCGGGGGACGGTATGGAGGGTTCACCATTATGACACCCCGCCCGCCCCCATGCTGGGGGTTCTGCGTTCCTCTGGGTCAGCGGCGGGGCCGATCTAACCAGCATGATGGGGGGGGGGCAGTACAAAAGTGTCAGGGGGCGGGGGATGGGGGGGCAGGTTATGAGAGGTCAGGGGATGGGAGATCGGGGGGGGATGGGGAGGGGGATGGAGAGATCAGGGGATGGGGGGGGGGGGGGGGGGCAGGTTATGAGAGGCCAGGGGATGGGAGATCGGGGGGGCAGGGGATGGGGGGGGCAGGTTATGAGAGGTCAGGGGATGGGGGGGGGGGCAGGTTATGAGAGGTCAGGGGATGGGGGGGGGGCAGGTTATGAGAGGTCAGGGGATGGGGGGGGGGTAGATCGGGGGGGCAGGTTATGAGAGGTCAGGGGGATGGGAGATCGGGGGGGCAGGGGAGATGGGGGGGGGGGGGGGCAGGTTATGAGAGGTCAGGGGATGGGGTCAGGGGGAGATCGGGGATGAGGAGGTCAGGGGATGAGGGGGGCAGGTTATGAGAGGTCAGGGGATGGGGGGGTAGGGGATGGGAGGTCAGGGGATGGTGGGGGTAGGGGATGGGAGGGGAGGTCAGGGGATGGGGGGGGCAGGTAGGGGGGATGCGGTAGTAGTGAGAGGTCAGGGGATGGGGGGGGGGGCAGGTTATGAGAGGTCAGGGGATGGGGGGGTAGGGGATGCGAGGTCAGGGGATGGGGGGGGGGGGGCAGGTTATGAGAGGTCAGGGGATGGGGGGGGGGGCAGGGGATGCGAGGTGAGGAGTCCCCTCTAACCACTGGTCGGCAGGCAGTCTTCCAGGAGTGGCCCTCGGTGTTGGCCCCGAGCTCGGCATGCAGCGTTCCAATGAGAGCCAATCACTGAATTGCTGGGTTCATGCTCACCTTGTGAGGTGTGTATGGGGGTGCACTACTGTCCGGTCTGAGAACATTTGATGGACAAAGATAAGTGACACCAGTGCTTTGATACTGGCTTGTGCTGTCAAATGGATGGTTGGCACACTGGGGGGGACAAAGGGTGACTGTTTTACACTGCTATTTCTAGGGGGGGGGGGGGGTTACACTGCTGTCCATTATGTGGGCGCAGTGCCTGCTGAACACCCATTCCTCTGCAGTGGGACTTTTTCATTTGGGGGGATTTGTACCGCCTGACATTTCCAGGGGGGATTTGTACCGTCCCGAGCTCTCCAGGTTCTCCCCCCATTATGTGTCCCCCCCCCCCCCCCCCCATACACTGCTCAGTGTGCAGCGCCATCCTGTGGGGCGGTCTGTGTCACGCTCTGTCTTGTCTTCTTAGGGTCAGTGGAGGAAGATGGAGACACGGAGGAGAAGTCGGAGAGGGAGACCGGCGACGTCCCACAGCCTGCTGATGTCAATGGAGGTGAAGATGACGGTGACCCCCAACCCTCCCCCACCAAGAAGAGGAAGAAGAAGAAACGGAAGGTGGTCTCTGAGGACGGCGCTGCAGGTTAGATGGCGGCTCCCCACCCCCCTCCCCCAATTGCTGCGGGCCTCATCCACCTGTGAGGGGCCCGGGGCCACAGCACACATTCACATGCTCTATATTCTGAACATTGGGGGGAGGGGCGGGGGGGCATGTTTGGTCAGATGAGCTCCATGCTCTGCAAGGGTCATACGGTCCTGTCTACTATTACTCGGGGGGGGGGGGGGGGGGTCATACGGTCCTGTCTACTATTACTCGGGGGGGGGGGGGGGGGTCATACGGTCCTGTCTACTATTACTCGGGGGGGGGGGGGGGGGGGGGGGGGTCATACGGTCCTGTCTACTATTACTCGGGGGGGGGGGGGGGTCATACTGTCCTGTCTGTCTTCTGGTCCTGATATTTATTTTTGTCACAGATGCCAAGAGAGTGAGGAATGAGGAGGCGGAGCCTGCAGATACCAAGCATGAAGGTGGCGCAGAGGTTGATGCTGGGGGATGAGGATGATGAGCCGAGTTTGCCGATGGGCCTGACAGGTACGGTTACAGACTGTGTACATAATTCTTCCCATCCGCAGTCGCGCGGCGGCGCCCCCCCTCCTCCCCCTGTCAGGTCGGCCGCGCGGGCGGCGCCCCCCTCCTCCCCCTGTCGGCCTTTTTCCGCGCGCGGCGGCGCCCCCCTCCTCCCCCTGTCGGCCGCCGCGCCCCGCGCGGCGGCGCCCCCCTCCTCCCCCTGTCGGCCCGCGCCGCGCGGCGGCCGCCCCCCCTCCCTCCCCCTGTCGGCCGCGCGGCGGCGCCCCCCTCCTCCCCCTGTCGGCCGCGCGGGGCGGCGCCCCCCCCCCTCCCCCTTCGGCCCTGTCGGCCCGCAGCGGCGGCGCCCCCCTCCTCCCCCTGTCGGCCGCGCGGGCGGCGCCCCCCTCCTCCCCCTGTCGGCCCTGCGCGCGGGCGGCGCCCCCCTCCTCCCCCCCTGTCGGCCGCGCGGCGGGGCGCCCCCCCTCCTCCCCCTGTCGGCCCGCGCGGCGGCGCCCCCCTCCTCCCCCTATTTAGGGGCCTTCGAGGACTCGCCCCCCCCCCCTCCCCCTGTCGGCACTCCGGTGACACTCTCTCCCGTTTAGGGGCCTTCGAGGACTCGTCCTTCTCCTCCCCCCGTCGGTCGCCGCCGCGGTGGCGCCCCCCCCCCCCCTGTCGGCCACGCGGCGGCGCCCCCCCCCCCCCTGTTTAGGGGCCTTCGAGGACTCGCCCTTCCCCTCCCCCCGTCGGTCGCGCCCCCTCCCCCTGTCGCACTCTCAGGTGACACTCTCTCCCGTTTAGGGGCCTTCGAGGACTCGTCCTTCTCCTCCCCCCGTCGGTCGCGCGGTGCACCCCCTCCCCCCGTCGGTCGCGCGGCACCCCCCCCCCCGTCCGCGTCGCGCGGGCACCCCCTCCCCCCGTCGGTCGCGCGGCACCCCCTCCCCCCACCCGTCGGTTCGCGCGGCACCCCCTCCCCCCGTCGGTCGCGCGGCACCCCCTCCCCCCGTCGGTCGCGCGGCACCCCCTCCCCCCGTCGGTCGCGCCCCCCTCCCCCCCCCCCGTCGGTCGCGCCCCCTCCCCCCGTCGGTCGCGCCCCCTCCCCCCGTCGGTCGCGCCCCCCCCCCCCCGTCGGTCGCGCCCCCTCCCCCCGTCGGTCGCGCCCCCTCCCCCGTCGGTCGCGCCCCCCCCCCCCGTCGTCGCGCCCCCTCCCCCCGTCGGTCGCGCCCCCTCCCCCGTCGGTCGCGCCCCCTCCCCCCGTCGGTCGCGCCCCCTCCCCCCGTCGGTCGCGCCCCCTCCCCCCGTCGCACTCAGGTGACACTCTCTCCCGTTTAGGGGCCTTCGAGGACTCGTCCTTCTCCTCCCCCTGTAGGTCGCGCGGTGCCCCCTCTCCCCCCGTCGGCGCCCCCCCCCCCTGTCGCACTCCGGTGACACACTCTCCCGTTTAGGGGCCTTCGAGGACACGTCCTTCTCCTCCCCCTGTAGGTCGCGCGGTTGCCCCCTCCCCCCGTCGGCGCCCCCCTCCCCCTGCGGCACTCCGTCGCACACTCTCTCCCGTTTAGGGGCCTTCGAGGACACGTCCTTCTCCTCGCTCTCCAGGCTGGTGAATGAGAACACGCTGAGAGCGATCGCTGAGATGGGGTTCACTCACATGACGGAGATTCAGCATAAAACCGTCCGGCCTCTTCTGGAGGGAAGGTGAGGTCACGTGTGTGCGTGTCATATATGTCCCTGTGTTCCATGCTCCGCCCCTCTGACTCCGCTCCTCTTGTTCCAGAGACGTCCTGGCTGCGGCTCGTACAGGAAGTGGGAAGACGTTGGCCTTCCTCATCCCGGCCATAGAACTCGTCTACAAGTTGAGGTTCATGCCCAGAAATGGTGAGAATTCGGGAAGATTGTCCGTCCGGGGGAGGGGAATCTGTCCTGTATGGGTGATCTCCACCTGAGAGCGCCCCCTGGGGGAGGGGAATCCACCTACAGAACAGGTGAGAGCGCCCCCTGGGGGAGGGGAATCCTCCTATCACAGTATAGAACAGGTGAGCGCGCCTCCTGGGGGAGGGGAATCTGTCCTGTATGGGTGATCTCCACCTGAGAGCGCCCCTGGGGGAGGGGAATCTGTCCTGTATGGGTGATCTCCACCTGAGAGCGCCCCCTGGGGGAGGGGAACCCACCTACAGAACAGGTGAGAGCGCCCCCTGGGGGAGGGGAACCCACCTACAGAACAGGTGAGAGCGCCCCCTGGGGGAGGGGAACCACCTACAGAACAGGTGAGAGCGCCCCCTGGGGGAGGGGGAACCCACCTACAGAACAGGTGAGAGCACCCCCTGGGGGGAGGGGAATCCACCTACAGAACAGTGAGAGCACCCCCTGGGGGAGGGGAATCCACCTACAGAACAGGTGAGAGCGCGGGATTCCCCTGGGGGAGGGGAATCTGTCCTGTATGGGTGATCTCCACCTGAGAGCGCCCCCTGGGGGAGGGGAATCCACCTACAGAACAGGTGAGAGCGCCCCCTGGGGGAGGGGAATCCACCTACAGAACAGGTGAGAGCGCCCCCTGGGGGAGGGGAATCCACCTACAGAACAGGTGAGAGCGCCCCCTGGGGGAGGGGAATCCACCTACAGAACAGGTGAGAGCGCCCCCTGGGGGAGGGGAATCCACCTACAGAACAGGTGAGAGCGCCCCCTGGGGGAGGGGAAATCCACCTACAGAACAGGTGAGAGCGCCCCCTGGGGGAGGGGAATCCTCTTACAGAACAGGCGAGGGCGCCCCCTGGGGGAGGGGAGGAGAATCCTCTACAGAACAGGCGAGGGCGCCCCCTGGGGGAGGGGAGGAGAATCCTCCTACAGAACAGGTGAGGGCGCCCCCTGGGGGAGGGGAGGAGAATCCTCCTACAGAACAGGTGAGGGCGCCCCCTGGGGGAGGGGAGGAGAATCCTCCTACAGAACAGGTGAGGGCGCCCCCTGGGGGAGGGGAGGAGAATCCTCCTACAGAACAGGTGAGGGCGCCCCCTGGGGGAGGGGAGGAGAATCCTCCTACAGAACAGGTGAGGGCGCCCCCCTGGGGGAGGGGAAATCTGTCCTGTATGGGTGATCTCCACCTGAGAGCGCCCCCTGGGGGAGGGGAGGAGAATCCTCCTACAGAACAGGTGAGAGCGCCCCCTGGGGGAGGGGAATCCTATCACAGTGTCTGTATAGAACATGAAGGGTCCCCTCTGTATGGGGTGGGCTCTGCGCGCATGACAGGTCCTCTTTGGTGGGATTCGTTCCCTCCGGCCGCTCCCTGTCTGATGATTTTCTGTCTCCGTAGGGACCGGGGTCCTCATCTTGTCCCCCACCAGGGAGCTGGCCATGCAGACGTACGGCGTTCTGAAGGAGCTGATGGCCCACCACGTCCACACATACGGCCTGATAATGGGGGGGAGCAAACCGCTCAGCGGAGGCCCAGAAACTGGCCAATGGCATCAACATCATTGTGGCCACACCTGGGAGATTGCTGGACCACATGCAGGTATGGGGCGGGGCAGGGCGGGGTCTCCACCAACTGTGTTATGTGGGGTCGCTGGAGGAACGGGGTCATCGTACATGAGGGGGGGCTCATACACGGGGCCATGTTGGTGATCCATTGAGGTACAAATTGATGTCTGCTACAAGTGGGATTTATAGGCGGTCTCACTCCTCCTGCAGAACACGCCTGGCTTCATGTACAAGAACCTGCAGTGCCTGGTGATCGATGAGGCGGATAGAATCCTGGAGGTCGGCTTTGAGCAAGAGATGAAACAGATCATCGGCCTCCTACCGAGTGAGTGTCGTCATCTGTACGATGGGGGGAGGTGGGTCTATGATAGGTGTAGGGTGGGTGGTGGGTGTGTCCTTTCTTGGTAGTCTGATAGGTGTACATTGGGTGGGTGTGTCCATTTTTTGGGGTCTATAGTGGGTGTGTCCATTCTTCATTCTTCAGGGTCTATAGTGGGTGTGTCCATTGGGATTTATGGTAAGTGTAGGGTGGGTAGTGGGTGTGTCCTATCTTTGGGTCTATGGTGGTTGTGGGGGGGATGGTGGGTCTGTCCATTCTTTGGGGATCTATAGTGAGTGTGTCCATTGGGGTTTTTGGTAGGTGTAGGGTGGATGGTGGGTGTGTCCATTCTTGGGGGGTCTTATGATAGGTGGATGGTGGGTGTGTCCATTCTTGGGGCTGTATGGTGGTTGTGGGGTGGATGGTGGGTGTGTCCATTCTTTTTGGGTGTATAGTGGGTGTGTCCATTGGGGTTTTGGGGTTGCTAGGTGTAGGGTGAATGGTGGGTGTGTGGTTCAATTATGGGGTTTTGTTGGGGTGTGTTCCATTCTTGGGGGTATGGGGTGGGGTGGGTAGTGGGTGTGTCCATTCTTGGGGGTCTATGGTGGCTGTGGGGTGGGTTGTGGGTGTGTCCATTCTTGGGGGTCTGTGGTATGTGTTGGGTGGGTGTGTCCATTTGTTTGGGGGTCTGTGGTATGTGTTGGGTGGGTGTGTCCATTTTTGGGGGTCTGTGGTATGTGTTGGGTGGGTGTGTCCATTTTTTGGGGGTCTTGGTGTGTTGGGTGGTTGTTGTGGGGGTTGTGGTGGGTTTGGTGTGTTTCTTGGGGGTTGTTTTATGTGTTGGGTGGGTGTTTTCCATTCTTGGGGGTCTGTGGTGTGTTGGGTGGGTGTGTCCATTCTTGGGGGTCTGTGGTGTGTGTTGGGTGGGTGTGTCCATTCTTGGGGGTCTGTGGTGTGTGTTGGGGTGGGTGTGTCCATTCTTGTTTGGGGTCTGTGGTGTGTTGGGTGGGTGTGTCTGTTGGGTGGGTGTGTCCATTTTTTTGGGGTCTGTGGTGTGTTGGGTGGGTGTGTCCATTCTTGGGGGTCTGTGGTATGTGTTGGGTGGGTGTGTCCATTCTTGGGGGTCTGTGGTTGTGTTGGGTGGGTGTGGTCCATTCTTGGGGGTCTGTGGTGTGTTTTGGTGGGTGTGTCCATTCTTGGGGGTCTGTGGTGTGTGTTGGGTGGGTGTGTTTTCTTGGGGGTCTGTGGTGTGTGTTGGGTGGGTGTTCATTCTTGGGGGTCTGTGGTGGTGTTTGGGTTGTTTTTTGGGGGTTTTGTGGTGTTTTGTGGGTGTTTTTTTCTGGTGTGTTCATTCTTGGGGGTCTGTGGTGTGTTGGGTGTGTTTCATTCTTGGGGGTCTGTGGTGTGTTGGGTGTGTTCATTCTTGGGGGTCTGTGGTGTGCTGGGTGTGTTCATTCTTGGGGGTCTGTGGTATGTGTTGGGTGTGTGTTTGTCCAATCTTTGGGGGTCTGTGGTATGTGTTGGGTGGGTGTGTTTCCATTCTTTGGGGGTCTGTGGTATGTTTTGGGTGGATGTGTCCATTCTTTGGGGGTCTATGGTAGATGTAGCGTGTTGGTGGGTGTGTCCCATTCTTTGGGGGTCTATGGTAGATGTGCGTGTTGGGTTGGGTGTGTCCATTCTTGGGGGTCTGGTAGATGTATGTGTTGGGTGGGTGTGTGTCCATTCTCTGGGGGTCTTTTTGTGGTGATGTAGCGTTATGGGTGGTGTGTCCATTCTCTGGGGGTCTATGGTAGATGTAGCGTGTATGGTTGGTGTGCCCATTCTCTGGGGGTCTATGGTAGATGTAGCGTGTATGGTTGGTGTGCCCATTCTGGTCTATGGTAGATGTAGCGTGTATGGTTGGTGTGTCCATTCTCTGGGGGTCTATGGTAGATGTAGCGTGTATGGTTGGTGTGTCCTTTCTTGGGAGGGGTTCTATGGTAGGTTGGTGTAGTGTGGATTTTGGGTGTACGAGGCCATGGCATTGGATGCTCATATTGTTTTCCTGCAGAGCGCCGGCAGACAATGCTGTTCTCTGCCACCCAGACCCGGAAGGTGGAGGACTTGGCCCGAATCTCCCTGAAGAAGGAGCCGCTGTATGTGGGGGTGGATGACAACAAGGATACGGCCACTGTGGACGGCCTCGAGCAGGTAGGGAGTGTAGAGGGTCTGGGGGGGATGGTGTGGAGGGGGTGCAGATGAGGCTTCGGGGAGCCTAGAGGGGGTGTAGAGGAAGCTTTGGAGGATCTAGGGGGGATTTAGAGGATCTGAGGGGGGTGGCGTAGGGTCTGGAGGGAGTGCAGATGAGGCTGTGAGGAGCCCAGCCTCGAGGGTGTGTGTGAGGAGATCTGGGGGGGGCAGGTCTAGAGGAAGCTATGTAGAGGGGTGGGGTATAGAGATCTGGAGGGAGTGCGGATGAGGCTGTGGGGTGCCTAGCCTGGGGAGATGGTGTGTAGCGAAGGCTGTGGCAGGTCTGGAGGGGGTGTAGAGGAGGCTGTGGGGTCTGGAGGGGGTGTAGAGGAGGGTCTGGATGATCTGGGTGGGGGTGGTGGAGGGGTGTGTAGAGGAGGCTGTGGGGATTTGGAGTGGGTGTAGAGGAGGCTCTGGATGATCTGGGGGGGGGGGGTGGAGGATCTGGAGCGGGGGTGGTGGGGGGGGGGGGGGTGTGTAGAGGAGGCTCTGGATGATCTGGGGGTGTGGTGGTGGAGGATCTGGAGCGGGGGTAGAGGAGGAGCATCTGGAGGATCTGGAGCCGGGTGTAGAGGAGGCTCTGGATGATCTGGAGCCGGTGTGGGGAGGCTCTGGAGGATCTGGAGCCGGGTGTAGAGGAGGCTCTGGATGATCTGGAGCCGGGTGTAGAGGAGGCTCTGGATGATCTGGAGCCGGGTGTAGAGGAGGCTCTGGATGATCTGGAGCCGGGTGTAGAGGAGGCTCTGGATGATCTGGAGCCGGGTGTAGAGGAGGCTCTGGATGATCTGGAGCCGGGTGTAGAGGAGGCTCTGGATGATCTGGAGCCGGGTGTAGAGGAGGCTCTGGATGATCTGGGGGGGGTGGTGGAGATCGGAGCGGTGTAGAGGAGGCTCTGGATGATCTGGAGCCGGGTGTAGAGGAGGCTCTGGATGATCTGGAGCCGGGTGTAGAGGAGGCTCTGGATGATCTGGGGGGGGGTGTGGTGGATGATCTGGAGCCGGGTGTAGAGGAGGCTCTGGATGATCTGGAGCGGGTGTAGAGGAGGCTCTGGATGATCTGGAGCGGTGTAGAGGAGGCTCTGGATGATCTGGGGGGGGTGGTGGATGATCTGGAGCGGTGTAGAGGAGGCTCTGGATGATCTGGGGGGGGGGTGGTGGATGATCTGGAGCGGTGTAGAGGGAGGCTCTGGATGATCTGGGGGGGGTGGTGGATGATCTGGAGCGGGTGTAGAGGAGGCTCTGGATGATCTGGGGGGGGTGGTGGATGATCTGGAGCCGGGTGTAGAGGAGGCTCTGGATGATTTGGGGGGGTGTTGGAGGCTGTGAAGGTGTTGAGGACAATGGACCTTGGTTGTGTTGTCACCATTCTTCTGCCCGGTGTCAGGGATATGTCGTGTGCTCCTCTGAGAAGCGTTTCCTGCTGCTCTTCACCTTCCTGAAGAAGAATCGGAAGAAGAAGATGATGGTTTTCTTCTCCTCCTGCATGTCGGTGAAGTTCCATTACGAGCTCCTGAACTACATTGACCTCCCAGTGATGGCGATTCACGTGAGTTGCGGATTCTTCTTCCTCCAGAACGCTGTTGCCGTGGAGACGCCGCTAACCCATCTCCTCCTCCTCCTCCTCAGGGGAAGCAGAAACAGACCAAACGCACCACCACCTTCTTCCAGTTCTGTAACGCCGACTCCGGGATCCTCCTTTGTACGGATGTCGCTGCCCGAGGACTGGACATCCCTGAGGTGGATTGGATTGTCCAGTATGACCCCCCCCGATGACCCCAAGGTGACTACACACGGAACGTTGTAAATACGGGGATGGAGGGTGAATGGGGGTTGGGTCACATGAAGGGAGGGGAGGGTTGGGGGTTAGCCGCTCACATATGCAGAATATTGGGGGTTGGGTACACACTTAAGGAGACTGGGGGTTCAGACAGATGTAGAGGGGGAAGATTGGGGGGGCTGGGCCATTCGTAAGGAGGTTAGATTGGGGGGGTTTGGTCGTGTGGAGGGAGGTCAGAGTGGGGGGGGTCAGAATGGGGGGTTCGGTCATGCAAAGGGAGGTTAGATTGGGGGGGGTTGGGTTGTAAGCAGGGGGGAGAGGTTGGGGGGTGGGTTGTGCCATACGGAGGGAGGGCAGATTGGGGGGTTGGATTGGGCTGTACGGAGGGGAGGGCAGATTGGAGGGGTTGGTTCGACCAGCAGATTCGGGGGGGGGGGCTGGGCCATATTTGAGGGAGGGCAGATTGGGGAAGGGGGAGGTGTAGGTGGAGGGCGGGGGTTGGGAAGGAGGGCAGATCGGTGGTGTAGGGGGGTTGGGCCATGGAGGGAGGGCAGATTGGGGTGTGTGGGGGGGTTGGGGGTTGGACATATGGAATGGAGGGAGGGCAGATTGGATCGGGTCCGGCAGATTCGTGTACCATATGGTGCAGGGTGTACGGGGGTTGGGCCATATGGAGGGAGGGCAGATTGGAGGGGTGGGTTGGTGGCAGACGGTGGGTTGGACCATATGGTGCAGGGTGTACGGGGGTTGGGCCATATGGAGGGAGGGCAGATTGGGGGTGTAGGGGGGTTGGGCCATTCCTAGGGTCATACGCAGATCACAGCACATGTATAAAGCTCCAGTCGTCTCTTCTCAGGAATACATCCACCGGGTTGGTAGAACGGCCCGCGGGATTGATGGGAGGGGCCACGCCTTGCTGATTCTCCGACCAGAGGAGCTGGGATTCCTGCGGTACCTGAAACAAGCCAAGGTGAGTGGGTTGTCATCTCTGGGGGAGGGGTTTGTGTGTTTGGGGAGGGGGGATGTCAGGGGTTGGGGTGTTCTATAGATTAACTGTATCCTTATAGGAATGAAGTGTGTTTTCCTATCTTTCTTGGTGGGGGGCGGTAATTGAATATGAAGAATACATACACCCTCCCCCCTGGCTTATACCCCGGAATGTCTTCTCTCTCTGTAGGTCCCGCTGAGCGAGTTTGAGTTTTCCTGGAGTAAGATTTCGGACATCCAGTCACAGGTAGGTGCTCCTGGCCTGGCGGGTTGTAGGTTGGTGGGCGGTAGGCGCTCCTGGTTGGCGGGCGGTAGGTGCTCCTGGGTTGGCAGGCGGTAGGCGCTCCTGGTTGGTGGGTTGTAGGTTGGTGGGTGGTAGGTTGGCGGGCGGTAGGCGCTCCTGGTTGTAGGTTGGCGGGCGCTCCTGGTTGGCAGGTGGTAGGCGCTCCTGGTTGGGCGAGTGGTAGGCGCTCCTGGTTGTAGGTTGGTGGGCGGTAGGCGCTCCTGGTTGGCGGGCGATAGGTGCTCCGGTTTGGTGGTTGTAGGTTGGCGGGTGGTAGGTGCTCCTGGTTGGTGGGCGGTAGGCGCTCCTTGGTTGGCCGGCGATGGGCGGTAGGTTGGCCGGCGATAGGCGCTCCTGGCTGGTGGGTTGTAGGTTGGCAGGGGGTAGGCGCTCCTGGTTTGGCGGGTGGTAGGCGCTCCTGGTTTGGCGGGTGGTAGGCGCTCCTGGTTGGAGTGGTAGGCGCTCCTAGGTTGGCGGGCGGTAGGCGCTCCTGGTTGGCGGCGGTAGGCGCGCTCCTGGTTGGCGGGCGGGCGGTAGGCTGGCAGGCGCTCCTGGTTGGTTGGCAGGGGGTAGGCGCTCCTGGTTGGTTGTGGCGGGTGGTAGGCGCTCCTGGTTTGGCGGGTGGTAGGCGCTCCTGGTTGGTGGGTGGTAGGTTGGCGTTGGCGGCGGTAGGCGCTCCTGGTTGGCGGTAGGCGCTCCTAATTGGCGGTAGGCGCTCCTGGTTGGCGGGCGGTAGGCGCTCCTGGTTGGCGGGGCGGTAGGCTGGCAGGCGCTCCTGGTTGGTTGGCGGGCGGTAGGCGCTCCTGGTTGGTTGGCGGGTGGTAGGCGCTCCTGGTTGGTGGGTGCAGTAGGTTGATGGGCGGTAGGCGCTCCTGGCTGGTGGGTGGTAGGTTGGTGGGCGGTAGGTTGGCGGGCGGTAGGCGCTCCTGGTTGGCGGGCAGTAGGTTGGCGGGCGGTAGGCGCTCGTAGTTGGCGGGCGGTAGGCGCTCGTAGTTGGCGGGCGGTAGGCGGCGGGCGGTAGGCGCTTGGGTTGGCGGGCGGTAGGCGCTCGCGGTTGGCGGGCGGTAGGCGCTCGCGGTTGGCGGGCGGTAGGCGCTCGCGGTTGGCGGGCGGTAGGCGCTCGCGGTTGGCGGGCGGTAGGCGCTCGCGGTTGGCGGGCGGTAGGCGCTCGCGGTTGGCGGGCGGTAGGCGCTCGCGGTTGGCGGGCGGTAGGCGCTCGCGGTTGGCGGGCGGTAGGCGCTCGCAGGTTGGTTGGCGGGCGGTAGGCGCTCGCGGTTGGCGGGCGGTAGGCGCTCGCGGTTGGCGGGCGGTAGGTGCGGTAGCGGTTGGCGGGCGGTAGGCGCTCGCGGTTGGCGGGCGGTAGGCGCTCGCGGTTGGCGGGCGGTACGTGCTGCATTCACAGAGACTGACCGTCTTTCGTCCTCCAGCTGGAGAAGCTGATCGAGAAGAATTATTACCTCCACAAGTCGGCACAGGAGGCGTACAAGGCCTACATCCGAGCCTACGACTCCCACTCACACAAACAGATCTTTGATGTCAACACGTTGGATCTGCCGAAGGTTTGCCTGTCATTCGGATTCCAAATTCCGCCATTCGTGGACCTCAGTATCCTTTACATACCCGTCCACGCCTTCCTCCTCCATGGGGAATGGGTGGGGGGGGCACTGGTACATATTCTGTGTGTGACCGGGGGGGGTTGTCAGTATATGTCGGGGTGGATATGTATGTGGTGGGTGGTACATATGGTGTGGGTGACCAGGAGGGGGGTTGGTATGTATGTGGGGGGGGGGGGGCGCGTGGGGGGGGGTTGGGTATGTGGGGGGGTGTGGGGTGACCAGGAGGGGGGTTGGTATGTATGTGGGGGGGGGGGGGGCGTGTGGGTGACCAGGAGGGGGGTTGGTATGTATGTGGGGGGGGGGGGGGGGGGGTGTGGGTGACCAGGAGGGGGGTTGGTATGTATGTGGGGGGGGGGGGGGGGGGGGCGTGTGGGTGACCAGGAGGGGGGGTGTGGTATGTATGTGGGGGGGGGGGGGGGCGTGTGGGTGTGACCAGGAGGGGGGTTGGTATGTATGTTGTGGGGGAGATTGGTATGTACATGGGGGGGGGAGTACACGAGGTGTTTCTCATTGGTCAGAGGGCGTTATGGGGTGGATTGATCTCGGTTCATTTCCTGAACGCGGTCTCTCAGACGTGAACAGCAGCGGGGGGAAGAGGCTCCAGAAGCGCGGCGGGGGAGGGGGGATTCGGATATCAGAAATCTAAAAACTTCCAGAAAGCGAAGATCTTCAAACACATCAACAGGAGCGGGCCGGGGCCGACGGGCGACAATTCACCCGCTAATGTCCTCCTCGTGTCCCCCGCCGCCATCATCGCTCATCACTGAGGGGGCGGGACTCCAGCTAACAAACTGCAATATGTAACTGTCAGAGATGCATCTCCTCCGCCCTCCACTCCAGGGAAGGAATTATTTGCATTCAGATATTTTCCATTATTTTTGTATAATATTAAATCTCCGGATGGGACGTTTTCTACTTTTTGCTGCTTCCTGGGGGGACGTGGTGCGGCGGGGGACGTGGTGCGGCGGGGGACGTGGTGCTGCACTATGGCTCATGTGATGAGGGATCTGAGCGTTTTCTGACGGCTTTACACCAATCTGAACAGAGGTCATCCTGGTGAAGGGCCGAGTCATGACTTGTCCTGGTCTCCGCCCCTTTTTATATGACATGGGGGATCCGGTCACGTGACTTGCCCCGGTCTCCGCCCCCTTCTCTAGGACACGCAGGATCGGTGATCATCCACACATTCCTCGGCTTGGCACAGATCTGGAGATTGTGATTGGTGTCTTCATCAGAATGAACCCTCCCCCACCCGACGTGTCTGCTGGACTCGCTCATCCGGACGATCGATCTGAGGATACAACACGGAGGGGCGGTGCTGCTGTCTGCCAATTGTGTTTTTATTTAATCTGCTTGTGTCTTCCTTTCCTAATCCTATCGCTCCTCTCCCCCCCCCCACACTCCTACCCCTACCCCCCTCCCCCCTCCCCCCCCCCTCCCCCAACATGATGATGAAATTGGATGTAAAATCTTTCCATTTGCATTACATTCTTTGTATTATCACCACTGGGTCTCTGTGCTTCTCTATGCAATGCTGGCAGCTCATGGCTAGTGGGAGGGGCTGTACATAGGTTTCTGAAAACATCCCAGCACCCCTCCTCAGTACTCCTCCCAGGCCTGTTGCAAGCAGGGGGCGGGGCTCTTGGGGAGAATTATACAAATGTCAGTGTGGGAGGAGTAGATGTTCCTAAGGAGGTGGGGCTGTACCTGGTCTACCCCTGGTGGGGGGTTGGGTGGTCACCCACTGGGGGGGGGGATGGGTGGTCACCCACTGGGGGGGGGGGGAATGGGTGGTCACCCACTGGGGGGGGGGGGAATGGGTGGTCACCCACTGGGGGGGGGGGGGGGGGGGATGGGTGGTCACCCACTGGGGGGGGTCTGCA